ACTAACATTTATGGAGAATATGACAACTTTGACGACTGGTGTGCTGCTGAAGAAAGAAAAAATGTAAATAAAACGGAGAAACGTCTCAAAGAAAATGACACCGCTGCTGCTCTGAATGAGACCCTGCGGGAGTTTTACGCAGCTGTCCAGACAACTAAGTCAGGAGGAGAGTACAGCGTTTCAAGCCTAAGAAGCCTGTTTGATTAATTGTTTTATGTGTAATAAAAAAAATAACTATGCCTACCTTTGTGTTTCATGAAAAAAAAAATGCATTTTTGAACCTGAAGGGTTCTACAAGCTGAGCGGACTATAAATATCTCCGGTTGCTAAATAAGTTAAACCAGGCAAGTTATTATTTGTAAAAAATAGATTTAGCCGAATTAAAATATAAAATAGCAGCTAATGTTTTAAAAATGTTTTATTTGGCAAGTGACCATGGTATAAGCGGGTTAATGCCCTTCGAGGTGTCCATTGTCAGGTTTTAATGGACTTTGGCAGAGGCAATCGTCCTCCGCTGCACGTCGGCCGGTTCACGCCTCGCCGTCGTCCATTAAAACCTGACAATGGACACCTCGTCGGGCATTAACCCTTACATAAGTTCCGCATTTGACGCAAGGATGCTCGTCTATTTCCGGTTGTGGAGATTAAAGCGGAGGAAAACCGAGGAAAACGGGATAATGTCAGAGTCTTCAAAATTTACTGTCCTCCCGTCTTTGAAACGAAACTTACATACGTTTAGATGTAATTGTATATATAGTTATGTTTATTTAAAGCCACAATATGTATTTTTTCTGCATTAAAAATAGCACAAATAATTGTATCTATGTTATATATTTCTGTTAGATGTGTACTTACATTATCCCGACAGTTTCCACCAAATTTCAAATACGGAGAAATTTATAGTTTAATTCGAAGACACGGGACGTTTCTTTATTTCCGTTTCGTCGCCCGTTTATGGCGTCATATAATCTTTGACTCCTCTGTTTTCTCTAACTTCCTTGCGGAACCCGGCGAAACCGCCAAACACAAAGGGGAACACTGGACTACCGCCAATAAAGCAAAGAAAATGATGAAGAAAAAAAAGTAGTACTTATTTTTATGTGTGTAAATCACGTGCCCGCTCACGAGCGCTCACTCTTAACAGACACAAGGTGTGTTCGACATCGCCTGCGGCTGGATGCAACCGATCGGCGAGAACAGCCGCGTGCAGGCGGGGAGGACCTGCAAACGGAGACGTGAAGTCGGACAATTTCTGGTCCCCGTACTGACGGCTCACGTGGTGTTTGCATGGTTATACCACAGCTAAAGTGAAATAAATGCAACATTTGCCAAATAAATGGATATTTCAGACACATTTTCATTCAATACTTTACTGCTTCAGTTTGAAAATGTATTGTTTTTCCATCATTTTGAACATTTTTACATTGAACAAGACAGGTGTAACAGGTGTACAACAGGTGTCCAGTCCGGTACCGGATCGGATGGGATGGGGTTCCGTATCGTGGGAAAATTTTACCACGATCACGTGACCAGTCCAGAAGTGGTGGTGAGGGGGCGTTGGTGGGTGGGAAGAGGAGGGGAGACCGTGGGAATTTTCCCACGGTGTACGTACAGTCCATAAATGGGAGGGGTAAAAAGGGTGCGGGGCTTATTTTTATGGGGGGCAATAAAATTGTCACTTTCAGTTTGATGAAAAGCGCCCCATATTCTCTCTAAGGACTTCGTCAAATGAAAACAAATCTCGGACACACTAGGTCCCTCTCGCACACGATCTCGGACACAACTTAAAAAAAAAATTATACTCAAACATCTCTGCGAATTATTTACTGGCGTAATCATGCGACACATCGAATCGACACTGAAATTCGTTGATAACTCTTTTAATAATCAATTTTATCGATTTGATGTTGCAGCCCTATAAACAATATGAAGCTGGTAACTGTTTAATTAGTGCTGGTTTTACAATTATACATTTCTAAAATAGTGTAATAAAGACAATTTGACCCCCTGTTCTAAATTGAAAGTTATATCCTCATTAATTATGGCACATATTGATTATTAACTATGGCTAAATAATTTGTCTTTATTAGTACTGTATTAGTAGTAGTTAAGCCATAATTATTGGCATATGAAATTGTTTCTAGCTTCATATTGTTTAGTTAACTTAATAGATGATGAATCACTGAAACATAACATTACAACACAAAAATAATATATGGTTTGCTAACTTGGAAATAATGACCAAAATGCATTAACTGTACATTGTTAATCATTAATTACTAGCTGTCTATGTAATGGCATTAATTACTAATGGCTAATATGTCCTTACTACATGTTAAGTTAAACATTAGTTACTAGCGTGTTCGTGCTTAAAATTGCCGTCAGCAACACTTTTTTAAATTTAATATTCATTGAAATCTTCACTAGAAACCGACAGAACAACATTAAGTGGTTTGAGAAAAAACAGAGCTTTTAACTCCATCTGGAGCGTATTATTTGTTTTGCAAAAATCTACGACTCCCGGATCACTGGGGGGTGGGGGGATTTTTAAACATTAAAATTTTTGCCTAAGTCCACTCAATCTGCCAAACTTGCTGACTGCAGCTTTAACTAAACTAATTTTCTGCAAATAAATATGTACTGATGGTTTGAGAGTGATGTTCAGTACTGTTGTTTCACATGCGGGCAGCTTATGATCCTGTGTTTTCAGCTGGATTCACGGTAAATTAAACAAGCTGTTCTAAGATGCTGTATCATGAGCTGTATGCTTGTAAATAAAGTCAGCGCTACGCTTCCCTCTGAATCCACTAATGCATCGCATCCTTCTTGCCATGCATCACGTCACTTAAACAGCTTTAAACTTTCAGACTTGGCTCTGTTTAGAATCAACATGAACTGTTTTTAACTTGTCTATTTTTGTTCATAAAATGTCATAAAAATGCATGTATTATTATTACAGTTGAATGCATTATGTAACATTTTGTGAACCCAATTGTAACTCTTTGTAACTTGTAACTGATTTTTTAAATGTTTTAAATGTTAAACATTTCACATCGCAATGTTTTCTTGTTTTTATCTTTCTTGTTTTTAGTGACTGAAAGCGTTGAACATCGTGGGAAGAAGAGAATGTGGACAAAAGCAGAAGTTGCTGCTGTGATGCGGCATTTTAAAGTGCACATAGCTAAAGGCAAGTTGGCCACAAAATCTGAGTGTCTTCAATGCAAATCTGCTGAAGAGCATGTGCTACAAAGCCGGTCAGTACAAAACATTAGGGATTATTAACCGCCTCGTGTTATTTACATTTAACTTTGTTGAATTGACTGATTTCCAATTATGTGGTCAAGTATTCAATGTAGCTGATTTCAAGCTGATTTTATCTCAAAATGTATTGTGCCCTTTTCTGATAATTGTAAATAATTATTATTATTATAAATATTATAATAAATAACAATACACTTACTTCACACCCTTGCCACTAACAATAATAATACAAACAAATATTATATTTAAAAAAAATTGTTGGCAGTTGTCAGGGTATTGTGAATTACCTATCTGTGTTATGGTGTTATATAACCAGTCCACTAGGGGGACTACGAGAGTTCTAAAGGTCAGCGTAATACAGCGAAGAGTAAGAGAGTTGATTCTGATGTAAACAAGCTGAACGCAGTTGTTCCATGTGGCTCTTCAATAAATCGACAGAACACAAGTAATGCCTCCTTGCAAATGCTTATAAGACATTGGGCAGCACTTTATTTTCGCTGACTGCGAGATAGGCCTATTTTAACTTTTGATTAATAAAATGTTCTCCTAAAAGTTTATATTCTAGTTAAAGCTATATTCTATTTAAAATGTAGGCTACTTTTACATAATTACGTTTTGCTTTCGCTAAATGTCCCTTTGCGCCACCTGGTGGTCATTTCGCCACCGACTTTGAAATTCGGCTGGTTTATTTTAGCCGCGGTAGATTTACCGCGGCAAGTGGAAAACGACATTCTGGTTGTCCACCTACTGTACTTTATAGGAGATTTAAGAGCAAGGTAAAAAAAAAAGGGTGTGTGTAAACTCTATACTTTAAATAACTTTTTCATTTTACCTTCTTGGACAACCAACCAATCACAGTCTTCAAAAGATTGTGTCACGCATAGCAACGGGGTCAGCCCCGCCTTCTCACTAGTTTTCATCTTTTCCTTACTCAGAGTTGCTCTCAGATCGGTCCCGAATCGGTCTTAAGCTAAGACTCCTATGTAAAAGGCCCAGTTATGTAAATAAAGGTCTCCTTTAATTCAAGAAACTCTATCCCTAATAAATATATACAGTTTGCTTGCTTTATTCATATTTCAGAAATGCTGAAATAATTTAATTTCTTTTAGTTTTACATTTGTCTCAAAAGAGAATTGAGTTTGTTTCATAATGTATAGTTTTCCAGTATGGAAGCTTGTTTTCACCATCGAATAAAAAAGAAGATTTTTTTTCCATATATGTTAGTATGTAGAATGCAAAGTCACCCCTACACCACAGGGTGTGTGTGTTTTGCGGCCTCATTTGGATATCTTTAGTTTGTGTTCAAAGTAAATGAAATCAAAGTGTTTTGACTTCCAATTCTGCAGCGTGTTATTTTTCAGGGGGAAGGAAAATGCTATTGTTTTGCAGAAACAATTAATTGTTATCAAATGTTTCAGCTGCTTGTCTTTTTTTCTGTGCGTTCATGCAGAAAACATGTGGCTGGCGGAAGGGCACCTGTACCTGTGGGATTGGTCTGTGTGTGACTACTATCAATATGCCGCAAATGAGTCTCTCCTCCAACCTGGCCTCTGGGAGACTTTCCGTTAAGAAGAAGAAAACTGGTATGTGTTTATAGCGGACCAGATAAAGCTAGTAGACAGTGACACACCAAAGGTCTTTGATTGATATACCAAACTGCCCAAAGTTTGCATAATTGTGAATGGTACATTGTAACAAGGTTCAGGATTCGTGGATGGATGATGGAAGGAGACACAGGGTTGGAGAATACTGGGGCTCGTGCACTTTATTAACAATATTTCCCACGGCGCGTCAGCACGCTCACACAATAAACTCAGGCAGTTCAAAATAAATCAAAAACAAACTGTACTCTTCCCACTGAATACAGCTTCCTCAGATCACTGAACAGCAACACTCTTTTCACTGAAACACAGCTTTTTCACAGGACGGCAAATCCTCAGACCGGCGTGCATGAGCTCCCAGTTCCTCTCTCAAACTGCTGTCAGCACAGCCTGCTTATATGCAATCTCCTCACGCCAATTACTGAAATCACAAACAGGTGTCTGTCATTTGAACTTCACCCACTTATTCATCGCTCGGCTCCGTCCAGATCCGCTCTCCAGTTTCCAGCCCTGCTCAAGATAAGAAATCCTTAATCAGACTGTGTCCCGCTCCACTACCGAACTTTATCTATTTATACTTACCTGCTGTCTACAATATCCCCTGTCTCAATAAACCTGGTTTACACTCATCCATCTGTGTCCTTCTAGTCTGTGACAGTAAATTATTTCACTTCTTCTTTTTTCCATGTTAAAGAAATATCTGCTGTTTTTCTCACCCTGTTCCATCCAATTCCTCCGTGACGTTATAAAAGCTCCTTTTGCTTTGTTCTCATATAAATGTCTAGTTGGATTTGTAAGTCTAATAAGGCATTATTATCTTCTTGGCTCAAATGCTCTTTTTTTAGCAAGTTTGTTAATATTGTTGATTAGTGTGTGTGTTACACTTTTCTTTGTGTGGGCCAATGTCTTGCCATAACCTGAGCAGACACCTCTAATTTTATATTTGAGAAGTTTATATCCACGATATCCCAAAATGATTCCCTTTTCTCGCCGCCTCCCACTGTTCTGAGGTCAGGAGATCTATTTTCATGTTTATCTCTTCATGAGAAAGTGAGAATGATTTAATTTGTGGCATAAGATACTGTGGCAGGAGTCATTTGGCTGAATAATAAACCAACATTAATCACATGTTTCTAATACACATGCTAACACACACGCTGCTTTATTTAATAGTGAAGTCTGAGTCTCTTCCACCTGTATGAAACACATTTACACATGTATTTCTCCTCATAGACAGCAGTGAGACTCTTCTGTGGATCACCTGATGATTTCTGCTCCTCTCATCTCCGTTTCACAGATTTAAACTATGTAAAAAGTCTTCTAATCTTGGTAAATAGATCATCATCATCTGCTCTGTAAAGTGGAACAGAAGAGAAAACAATCAGTGTTCAGTGGAACAAAGTACAAAATATTATATTTCAATTACTGTTTTTGGGGTAAAAATGTTAAATTGAATTCCTGTAATCCATCGCCATATTTTGAAAAGTTTGGATCAATGAGCATTAAATAAAAGTCCATAACTGTCTTCTGTTCAAAATTTATATAATGAGCGAGTTCATCATGAATCCATCAATCCATCAATCTTATCCTAAACCACTATGGTCCACCTATAATAGGCGTTTACATTGGGACTATTTTACACTGGTTCGGGTCGCTGCCGCTGCGGAGTAGCCCAGTACCTGCGTGACTCGTCATAGACGTACACAGAGAGAAGTAGATCCGTCTACATCGTTCTTCCGAAAGATGCATTATTCTGTTAATAAACATTTATTATCACTCGCTATTGCGCCAAAAGCGTAAAAAATAAAGCCTCACAAATAACTTACAAGTATTGAGGCCCCAGAGAGCAGTCATTTAGTAATAGGTTACATTCTTTCATTTTTACCAACACACCACTGTGAATATGTTTGTTTTTGCATTTCAAATAGGGCCAATATATAGTCTTCTCCTAGGCTTACATTTTTAAATTAAAAAGGACCTACCGATGTTTTTGTTATTGTATTTTCAATATTATAGGGTATTATTTGTGCATAAACATATATGGTTATGGTAAACATAATGTTTGTTTGAAAACCACATATTTTGTCATCCTTGCTGCAAGCTTACAAGAGCTTAATATTTGATGATAATATCAAATATTAAGCTCTTGTAAGGCCCTAAAATATTTTCTTGGGAAAAAGGGGGTCTCAGACAAGAAAAGGTTGGGTACCACTGTTGTAATCAGGTTAATTCTTGACTTTACATGATCTTGCTAGTCTGGGTTTCCCCATACTGCCTTCCTGCAGAGTGATTTTATTCAAGCTGAAAGGCAGTCTGGATACCATGGCCAGATTTTCGCCTCATTTAGGGAACCAATCACAGAACGGGGAGGGAGCCGCAAGACGATGACAACATGTGACACACCGACGCAGTTTGTTTATATCTATGGATTCAACATGGCAGCAAACGCGAAGCTACCTTTTGATGCAGCCTTAGATATTGTTTTAAGCAGTTTAGAATGCAAGTTTATTTAGAAAAAAGAGCAGCTTTTGGCGTTATTGTTGTCTCGCCATTAATCGCCCTAATGGAGGACCAGTACAGGAGGCGATCAACCTGGAATATCTGCCGCTCAGCTGTGTCCCGAGAAAGAAACTGCGATGAAGAATTGTCGATACCAACTTCTGTTCGGCAGTCCCGAGGCCTGGATGAGCGCAAAGTGGCAAGACATGTTAGCCACAGAGTTGTATAGTACCAACCTGCTAGTAGGCATCGTCTTCGATATATCATATTGTCATTATGCCTGTAGACTACCTACTGTGGTTGTCACAGTGCCAAAGTTGTGTGGCTTTTCAATATCAATATACAGCTACCGCTTTAGTAGCATAACTTTCAGCTGTGCACACATACTCGATTAAAGTTGTTGACACTTTAGTCATTAAATGAAAATTTAAATTTTTTTAAACTTGTGAAGTACGAGCGCAAACAATTTCCAATGCAAATAACAACTTCAACATCTATGTTAAACTGTACTTAATACTTGTGTTTTTCTAATTGAAACGATTGGCTATGAGCTACGTACAGGCGCATTTGATATACACATTCTTAGCACCCAATAAACGGCGCCGGGCATTCGTAAACCACACCTCAAATACGGGAAAATGAGCATATGGTTCCCAGACCCAAGTCTCAGCGTTAGCCAGGCTATGATCTTGCAGAGATATTTGTGTTTTTAAATATAAAAGATTTAAATCTGAATCATGTTCATATGTGTGTCTGTGTGTGTCGGTGCGACTCCTATTGAGTCTCTGTAAAGGAGAAACTAATGAGTGTACGGCGTATGGAATAAACCACAGCGAGCAAATACTAATGTTATTTTGAGTTAAACACAAGCCTTTAGTTAAAGCCGTTTGTCCTCTAGTTTAAACATGTTTGTAGGCTCTTAGTAAATAACTGAGAGTAAAGTAAGTGTCGAGTAGTGTGACGTGTTGCTTGTCACAGTAAAAACACACTAGAGACAGAGACATTGCTCATGTGAGCTGGACGCTGTGAGCTGAAGCTGGAACTGCACTGATTTTAGCAGGAGTGCAGCGTTTCCTACAATCTGACCAAGTCTGTTTCACACTCAAATGATTCACTTCTACTGACACACTTCATAAAGCAGGTGTTGATGTATAAAGCTGTGACAGTGAGCTTTTCTTCTCTTTCCTCCTTTGTGTTCAACATTTCAATAACTTCACATTATGTTCTCACACAAACCCTTTGTTGCAATAAATCTTAATGATAATTTCCTTTTACGAATGTTTGAAAGGATTGTTCACATATCAGAGGTAAATGAAGATGTCTTTAATATCTCAGTGATGTTTCCTCACCTCAGGACACAGTTTGAGTCTCGTAGCTCGTCTCTGAGCCGCTGCTTTGAGTCTCCGATCTCATTCTCTCTCAGATCAAGCTCTTTTAAAAACTGCAGAGCTTTTGAGTTCGTCAAAGACTGAGTTAAAGAAGAAACATCTGTAATGTCACAGTACCGTAGACTAGAGAGACACAAACAGAGGAAGAGAGATTATCTTACAAACAAATCATGAATGTGAAGAATTTTACACAGATATAATGTGAACTCAGACTCACTGTCAGATATTGAGAATAAAGTGTTTTAGTTTAATAAACCCAGAAAGTGAACTGCTATAACCAATGAAACATAAGCCCTGCTGTCTTCAAATAAATAAACTTCAGTCACACTGTAATTGCTGTACAGTATAATGACACTAACTGTAGTTTCTCCAGCTTGAATTGTGGGTTCATCAGTAGATCACTGAGGTTTTTCACTCCAGAGTCTCCCAGATTATTCTCACTCAGGTCCAGCTCTCTCAGGTGTGACGGGTTTGATTTCAGAGCTGAAGTCACATCAGAACAACCTTCATCTGTCATATAACACCAGCTTAACCTACATTAGCAGAGAGAGAGAGAGAGAGAGAGAGAGAGAGAGAGAGAGAGAGAGAGAAAATGAAGAAAATAAGAGACTCTTTATTCTGTAAAGTCACATCATCTTCATCAGCAAATAAAACAGACAGAGGAAGAGAGATCTTCACCTTCATTTCATCAGATCACAAAATACTAAAGTGAAAATGTTTGTTCAAATATAATGTTAATGTGTTCTTGTTTATACAGTTGAAGTGATTTTAAGCATTTTGATTCTTGTATGTGAATGTGACTGACCTCAATCTCTCCAGTTTACAGTGTGAATCCTTCAGTACGGCACATAAGTGCTTCACTCCTGTGTTTCCTAGATTATTCCAGCTCAGGTCCAGCTCTCTCAGGTGTGACGGGTTTGATTTCAGAGCTGAAGTCAGGATGAGACTCTGTTTCTCTGTAATACTGCATCCACTCAGACTGAAGACAGAGAAATAACAATAGTTCACATCTATGATGATCATCTTATTGAAGAGCTACAGCAGCATTTAGTTTCCAATAGTCTGTTTTAAAACCCAGTCACACTAGTTCTGTGCGCTGGAAGACACTGTTTCTTCTCTTTCATTTCTAACTATTTATTTGACGTCTCTCTTCTTCATTCTCTGTTGAAAATGCAGATTTCTGTGTGTACACAATCAGTGCATTGTATCAGATGTTGGAAATTAAACAATTACTATCTACACTCTAAAAAGTTTTATATGATTTACTACATTTTTTTGGTGAAAAATGTTCACACTCAAAAATATTGATTCCATTTTAAAGCAGTGAAATCAATTACAATACACTGTATAAACTAACTAGAAAAAAAGCACACAAAAATGTGTATAGGGAAACCCAGAAAGTGCACTGTTATAACCAATGAAACTAAAGCCCTGCTGTCTTCAAATAAATAAACTTCAGTCACACTGTAATTGCTGTACAGTATAATGACACTAACTGTAGTTTCTCCAGCTTGAATTGTGGGTTCATCAGTAGATCACTGAGGTTTTTCACTCCAGAGTCTCCTAGATTATTCCCGCTCAGGTCCAGCTCTCTCAGGTGTGACGGGTTTGATTTCAGAGCTGAAGACACATCAGAACAACCTTCATCTGTCATATCACAGCAGCTTAACCTACATTAGCAGAGAGAGAGAGAGAGAGAGAGAGAGAGAGGTTCAAAAATGCTTTAATTTCTACATTTCAGAAATCATACATTCATATACTCATTCTAAAAAAAGAACATGTACAAAACCCACAGATATTAAAATAATAATAATCAAAAATTCAGAACCATCACATCATCATAAATAGTACATAAAACATCATTAATACACCATATCTCAATAAAACTCCTAACATCATTTACAATATCATAATATGCGTACTCCACTTTAAGCCTCCCTTCCACTAATTTCCTAAACATCACTTCCGGATCCGTAGATGCCAACTGTAAGCCTTTGTTCTTCCTGGTCTTCCACACTGCCAATTTTGCAGTCCCAATAATATAATTCAATAAACAAACTTTCTCCCTCATCAAAAAACTATATTTTAACCCTCCAATAAACACTTTATCTGAAAAATCTTGATCAAATTTCCTGAACCATTCTTTAAGAAGATTAAAAAGACTCTGTAGTCTTTCACATTTTAAAAACAAATGTTCCAAGTCTTCCTGTTCACCACAAAACCTACATTCCCCACCCACAGCTGGATTCAAGTGCGCCACATGTCTGTCTGTAGCTATTGCCCTGTGAATAATCCTCCATTGCAGATCAGCAGTTCGCTTCTCCACTGGAGGTTTATACAGTGCTCTCCATCTGTCCCTTACGAGGAACTCTTTTGTCAACAGTCCTGGCCACCCAGAGGCTTTCACTCTCCTGAGCGATTCCTGATGTAGGACCTTCACCGTGATGTAATAAATGGCCTTCTTTGATGTAGACTCGAACAGTTCTATTTGAGGAAATTCAAAAAACAAGATTGAACCAGCCTCCTCACCTTCCAGATCCTCCTTACTTGCGGGAGCTATTTTTATCTTCGGAAATTCTTTTTCATCAGTTTCCTTCCTTGCAATGATCTCTCTGTAGCTGCTTGGTATTGCATTGAAAATTTCCTCCATCAGTTTTTCTGTAAGTCTTAATGAACGTTATCCTGTCACCTCTCTGATGGTCTCAGCTGATCTCCATCCATTCCTGTCCAAGAGATGTCCCAGTTTTACAACGTTGTTCCTCAGTAAGCTCGTTCGTATACTCGCAGAAGATAACATCCTTGTCTGGATCATTGGATTAAACAGCAAGGGTTCTTCAGTGACCCATTGTCCTTGAGGATCAATCTCCCGTTCTACTTTAAAAACAGTTCTCCAGACCTTCAACATAGACTTATAAAATGGTGTAAGCTCAGACAAGCTCACTTCCTCCAGTTTTATTAGGAATAGATGTTTATCCAATCCCAGTCCTCCTGCTCTCTGTAGCAAAGCACAAGCAGTTTGGGCCCAAGTCAAGTCCTTATGATAGAGGAGTCTCTGTGCAGCTTGTATCCTGAATGCACTGATACGACTCCTCACATCCACCAACCCCTGGCCACCTTCCTGGACAGGTAAGTACAGCGCAGCTGCCCGGATCCAGTGCTGTCCACTCCAGAAGAAGTCCACCAAAGCTCTTTGTACACGGCAGATCAGTTCATCAGGTGGCTCCATGACAATAAACCTGTGCCACAGTGTAGAGGCAGTTAGGTTATTAATAACCAAAACTCGCCCTCTATATGATAACTGTGGTAATAGCCATTTCCATTTAGACAATCGGGCGAGCACTTTCTCCAGCATTCCCTCCCAATTCTTCATCTGGAACTGACTATTCCCTAAGTATACACCCAAGACCTTCAGCCCTTCCCTACCCCATTTCAACCCACCAGGAAGCTGCGGAAGTCTTTTACCCATCCACTGACCAATAATAAAACCCTCACTTTTCCCCCAGTTTAACCTAGCTGAGGATGCCTTCTCGTATTGCTCAATTCCCAGATAGCAACATTGTTTCGGCCCAGATCCGGCCCACATCTGGCACTTGTGGGATGCGGATCTGGCCCACATGCAGCGTGGAATGACGGCCCTTGGGTGGCCCACTCCTGTTTGCCAGAATTGGGCCACAAGCAGGCCATAGCAATGCCACATGTCAGCCAAGAGCAAAGAAATAAACCACAACTGGACTTTGAGCCACAAAATCTGTGTATATTAAACATGGAGTCATCTCAACCTTAATAAGCCTGTTAACAAACAGAATCACTGAAGGTAAAATGCTTAGATGAAATCACCTGAAGAGAAAAGAAGACATTAAATCTGAAGATCTCAGCAGAGGAGGATTAAACAACTCCACAAACAGCATTACCAGCATCACTTATTACTAACCCTGACTGACTTTATTTCTGTCAGACTACAGAAGATTTTATTGAGAATTAACAGAGGTTTAACTCTGTTTCATTTGAAGTCACCAAAACATCAGAATCTCTGAAGGAGAAAATCGTAATTGGTTACCATTATGGAGATCAGTGTTTGCTTTAGTTGGGCTCTTGAGCCTTAAGTCATTTATTTTAGAATTTGCTCGGCTATTGTACTTTTGTTATAACAGCCAAATGAACAAAGGTGATATGATGGTATTCACTGTTTGACATTGTCATTGTCTCACGATCATTTGACCTGAGCAGAGGCCAATCTATGAGTTAAATTTACTTTATTGTTTATTGTTATAAAACTGTCCTTGTAAATCATAATGTTCTTACTTTTACAATGTAGTCCAAATAATTTCTTAAAACTTAATTTTAAACGACATCATGAATCAGCCTGTGAATCTCAATAATGGTGGCAATTATAAAGCATTTTGCAGTGTATTCTGGATGCCACCAATCAAGCCTCATTCATGGCTCCCATCATGCATTGCTGCATGAATAAATAATTAGCTTTTTTCGTCACCATTGTTGAGATTCATAGGCTAATTCTTGATGTCTGTATGTGCCTACCTGAAATATTTTTAAGTTTTTTTTTTTTTTTGGTAATTGATTTGATAATTTTGATTTAATAGAAAAGGCATATTCCACAACAACAGTGCTGCATTAATATCCATAAGATACAAAGCTTAACTCTGAAATTATACACTCACTGATTCAGGCCAATTATTGATTATGTAATAACACAATCAACATCGTCAAATCTTCTTTTCCATATGTTCATTTGGCTGTTATAATAGAAATACAATAGCCAAACATATTCTAAAAGAAATGACTTAAGGCTCAAGAGCCCAACTGAAGCAAACACTGATCTCCATAATGGTAACCAATTACGATTTTCTCCTTCAGAGATTCTGATGTTAAGGTGACTTTAAATGAAACACAGAGTTAAACCTCTGTTAATTCTCAATAAAATCTTCTGTAGAAGTCTGACAGAAATAAAGTCAGTCAGGGTTAGTCATAAGTGATGCTGGTAATGCTGTTTGTGGAGTTGTTTAATCCTCCTCAGTTGAGATCTTCAGATTTAATGTCTTCTTTTCTCTTCAGGTGATTTCATCTAAGACTGTGTCTGTAGTTCTTGTTCTGCTCGTCTCTTTTTCCATTCTCTTCTTTCCTTCAGTGATTCTGTTTGTTAACAGGCTTATTAAGGTTGAGATGACTCCATGTTTAATATACACAGATTTTGTGGCTCAGATAAAGTCCAGTTGTGGTTTATTTCTTTGCTCTTGGTTGACATGTGGCATTGCTATGGCCTGCTTGTGGCCCAGATCTGGCAAACAGGAGTGGGCCACCCAAGGGCCGTCATTCCACGCTGCATGTGGGCCAGATCCGCATCCCACAAGTGCCAGATGTGGGCCGGATCTGGGCCGAAACAATGTTGCTATCTGGGATACTCTTAGTTAAAACTGCAACATCATCCTGGCCTGTAATGAAAACAGTAACGTCATCAGCATAAGCCGATACAGACACCCTAGAACTTATGTCTCCATTTGGAATTAAGACCCCATTGAGATTTCTCCTTAACTTACACAAAAGAGGTTCAATGACAAGGCTATATAACTGTCCTGAAAGTGGACAGCCTTGCCTAATTCCCCGAGAAACAGGTATTGGCGCACTTAAACCACCACCAGCCTTCACAAGAACAAAAGCATTGGAATAACACAACTGAATATATGAAATAAAAATATCACCAAAGCCAAAATGCTGTAAAACATTATATAAATAGGCATGGTCAACTCTATCAAATGCTTTCTCTTGATCTAGAGAAAGAACACCAAACTCATAATTATTCAGCTGACCTATTTCAATAACATCACGCAATAAGGATATATTGTCCATTATAGATCTCTCAGGAATACAGTATGTCTGATCCTTCTGCACCAATTGACCCAGATAACACTTTAATCTATTAGCCAAACATTTTGAGAATATTTTGTAGTCAACACACAATAATGACACTGGTCTCCAATTTTTTAGAAGTCCCAGATCTCCTTTTTTTGGAAGTAGTGAAAGAACTGCCCGACTACAACTTATGGGAAGTTTCCAACTTTGACAGCATTCAGACAGTACCTCATAAAAGTCTTCTCCTAAAATACTCCAAAAACGTTGATAAAATTCAGCAGTTAATCCATCAATTCCTGGGGATCTACCCGTGGACAACTGCTGCATTGCCTCTGTAAGCTCTTGAAAAGTAATGTTATTATCCAGAGTCTTTTTCTGTTCACTCTCAATCTTCGGTAGATCATTAATTATATCCTCAGCACTTTCATGGTTACAGTTTTCAGAAGCATATAATTGTGAATAGAAATCCACCGACATCTTCCTTATTTCCACAGGATCTGTTGTTATAGAACCATCATGACGACGAAGATGATACATTTGCTGCTGTGTTGTATTTTCCTTTCCAAGATTGAAAAAAAATGTGCTAGGGGTATCCATGTCTTTAACAGAGCAAAATCTTGCCCTTATTAGCGCTTTCTTTACTTGCTCTTGTAGAAAAGTTCCAAGTTCTTTATTTTTCTTTCGTAGAGCATCATCATGCACAAGTTCATTATCATTAAAAATTCCTTGTTCTAAAAGTTCAATGTCTCTTTGTAATCTTTTCACAGTTGCCTTCACCACTGATCCAACATGGGATGAATAA